AAGTGATTTACATTATATTCATATTTAAGGGAAGAGTTGCAAATTTTTGAAGCATATCTTCCTTCTTTTGTGAAATATTGCCACTTTGATTATTTTGTTTGATTATTTCTTCATCAGGACATATTTGATGAACATAAAGTAAATGTGCTCCCAAGATGTTTACATCGCACGCAGTATAATTTTTATTGCAAATGTTACACTGTTTCCTATTCTGAATTTTATTATAATATGTTGCCATATCCAACTTTTACTTTTCGTATCTCTTTGTATGTTATTTTCTTCAGTATTTTCTTAGTTTTTTATTTAAGCCATGTTTGACCAAATGACACGCTAAATCATCTGTATCATTTTGCAATACATTAAACATGTAAAAACAAATCGTGCACTTCAGTTTATCATATTACATTTGATGTGTTTAATATGATATATGTCGATATCGAAGAATGTTTAAATTTTTTTTTTTAATATTTTTTTCTATTATTTGTGGATGTTTACGTTTAAGATGCCTCTTTAACTCCTTTACAAGATATCTATTCAAAAGAGATATATTATAAATCTTACATTTTAAGTGTATCTTTCTTCTTTTCTTGAAATAACACTATATCGGATGATATTTCTGCGATCTATGTCTTCATCATGAAATATTTTATGCACGAAATAAGTGCACTTTTAATTTTAATGTATAATTTGTATAAGAACAATCTTGCATTGGAATATGTTATTTTTTAAATTATTATAAATGTTATATCCAATATACTTGACATTTTCCTTTGTACCATTACGTCTACACAGTATCTCAGATTGTATATTATTAAACATAAAAATGTCTATACCATCGAGAAATATTTAACGAAGGTCGAAGAGTGATATATGAATTTAGTTAGAACATAAATATTGATGATTTCAATACTGATACAGCTTAAAGCCGAGAGCACAGATTCTTGTATAAAGCATAATGCATAAGGCATATGAAAATCACAGTTCTTTATTTCTTGGAAAGAAAGAAAATAAAGGAAGGTTCATTTTCTTATTATATATGTTATGCAAGTGTTTATGCTCTTAACTTTTTGTGTCCGATATAGAAATCCATCCGAGACGGAGAAAGTTCATTGATCATGTGACCAAATTTATCAAATGTGATTTGATATTTCTTGTTGTTTCTTTCTGTATTTTAGATTTCGGAGCGGTTTCTAGTATCGTGGACAAAGGTTAACAGTCAAATAGTATCGCTCTACTTGTAACAATTCAATCATCGTAAATTAAAAGAATTCAGATTAAAATATATTTTATCCAAAAATGAAGATTTTTTTCTTTTTACAGTATTGCATAAAGAAATAAAAATTTAAAATAGTTCTTAAAAAACTTCTTTAAAAAAGAAAAAAATATACGCTAAGTATACATATTTTCGTCTTCGCCCGGCGTCGATTGTCGTCCGGCGAACTTATTTAAAATAATAAGTACTAAATATCCCTTTTATCTTTTTTATTAATATATGTATATTTTAAATAACTTTATCTCTCAAATGCGATCGAACCCTGTAATCAGATATCCGCGCTGCGTGCCTTTATTCTTTATATTTCTTTTTGAAACATAATCGCGACAAATGTGAGACAAATACGAACGTTGTATTTTATGAATACTCATAGTGTACGATTATTAGCTTACACGATTGATTATTTATAAAATGATCGAGATGACAATCGTATATCACGGAACAGATAACTATAAGTTCGTACGGTTTATTCATTTGGAATCAAAACAATGAAAAACAATATTTGTTACTACTTTCGCGATAATTACGAATGGCAATTATTTTTATTTATCGTAAAATTTTTCTCTCGCTTGAGTATAATACTCGATTATACTTCGAACAGTATCACACGAGTCATAAAAAGCAACGCTATAATAAATACTTTCATGCAAATAATTTAATTCATGCTATTCCTACTTTCAGAACTAACATAGTTGTGTAATTAATAATTTAATTAATTTTTCGTTTTTGCGCATCTTTCGTTATACGATCCGTATAAAAAATTAAATGTATAACTTTGGAATTATTTGTCGATAATAAAAGACATATTCCTCTTTTTTATTAATCTCAAGTCATTCTATTGACATATATCCTACATATATCCTATAGACATCATAATAAGAGGTTCAGTCTTCTTATCTGCTCTGAATTTATTTCGCAATGGTGATGAATTGTCGTGTGATTGATATTTATTTCTAAAAATTAATGGATAATTGCATATAGTATTATCGATAATAGCTGTATACTATATATTACATTTTTCAAATGATATCTTCCCTCTGATAGATACGACCTAAATGGTGGAAGCTCATTACTCACGAAAAGAACGGTTCTTCTTAAGTATCTAAAAATTTTCGGATCTATCTGAATGATATATCTAAATAACTTTTTAACTTACATGAGTAAAATCCTTCTTTTCGTAAAAATTCAACAACGAGGAAACTAACGTATCCTCGATTATCTAGTTTTATTTGAAAGTGAATGAACTACAATGTTCGTACAATGGTCGTTTATTTATGTTTCGGGAGTGCCGTTGAAGTTATCGGACTTTTCACAAAAATCATTCAATGGAATTTTAGTTTGAACTATGGAATCATATCTTCGATGTTTTGATAAGAAGCGGAACTTTCACTGAGACGTTGCTGCATGAGGTGGCCAGTCTCATGCCAAGAGCACGTGCGAATATAATCAAGCACAAGTTTTGTAGACTTTTTAATCTACAAAACTTGCACTTGATTCTCAGTAAAAAATTTTTCACATGAATATGTATAAATATGTATAAACACACATAATTTTATATGAAATATATCCATTCATGTTCATACATATTCCTTCTTTCTTTTATAAAATTACTTTTTAGTGTAATAGAACTAACAATAACAATGTGAAAATATTAAAATAATTAAAAGGATAATCTTTACATTATTTAGAAAAAATCAAATTTCAAGAAATGTACAAAAATTATTTATATACAATTATATATAAAATCATGCGTAATTGTATGAGCAATTTTTTTTAACATTTTTCCAAACCTGTTTTTCTCTAAAATGAACAATGCGAAAATTATCCCTTTAATTATTTTTTATATTTTTACATAAATATTGTTATTTCTATTACACTAAACAGTAATTTTACAAAAGAAAGAGGAATGTATGAATATAAAAATTCGGAATTCACATCCTCCTGTAACGCTGATGTTTGACGGATTAACTTTACTTTGCGAATGGATCTTATGAATTTCACGCAGAATCAGAATAGTTCGCTTTCCTATGAAGATTGTTTCTTTTTTATATCGGATACTAACTTTATCATAAGGAGAGATCTTAGTGATCAAATTTATTATCAGGCTGAATTTTTTTTAACTTAATAAATATTAAGATAATTATAAATATCAGTAATTTTATTTTCGCCTATGCAATCAATATTAATAAAAGGCAACTACGAACTATTACTTTTAGTACTTTGCATACTTGAACGTGCAAAGGAGAAGTTAAATAAGTGTCGATTTTAGCCCCCAAAGTATATCTGAATAGATTTTGGAAAATATCATATTGTTTGAATCCTCAGAAAACAAGAAATAACAATTATTTGCTCGAAAAGTGATGGGAACATGCTTGAATATAGAATTGCTTATATAGTAAAAAAATATAGTAAAATATAGTAAAATATAGAAATATAGTAAAATGACATTCATACATAGGATGTTCGATAAGTAACGATAAAATTCTCACATAGGAATAGATCGAACTAAACTGAGTCGAAAAGTTCTCTACCATTTTATAATTTTTGCAATAATTAACAAGATATTAATTACTAAAAATCGCCGAAGGCCTATTGATTTTCAATAATATTTTACTCGAATATTATCAACTTTACAGAAAAAAAGCAAATGACAAAAATTGTTTATTTTCTTTTCCTAGAGTTCTCAAAATTTTTTAGTATCGTACTTTCTCATGCTGCTAAAAGTAGTTTATGAAAATGAAAAAACGCAGTAAAAAGTTGATAAAAAATTCTGAAAAAAGAGCTCTATGAGAAGAAAATAAATAATTGTCTCTTGCTGTTTTTTGTAAAGTTGATAGTATTTGAGTAAAAAATTATTGAAAACCAATATTCGGCGATTTTTTAGTAATTAATAGGGAGTTTTTGCAATATCGTTTATCCAAATACGATATATATAATATAATAATATAATTTCCTAATATAATTTCTTATTTTCTGAGGAAACCCTAATATAATTTTCCAAGGTCTATTCAGATGTACCTTGTAAACGTACATCAAAAATGATACTTTTTTAACATTTTCCTTTTAGATGGTATAATTTGTTAGGTTTAAATGATTACAATAATTCAAAAACTACGACAATCTTGACATTTTGATATTAGAACTTTTTTATCCCAGAATAATTTCAGAAATCTACCATTAGCAGGTGGTGCGTTAGATCTGAAATCATCCTGTACGCGTGCGCGCGTAGTATATAGTATTTATAGGCACATTCATCTTGATAACTAAAGTAATAAACTTTAAAATTTTAAAGAAATGTTTTGTTATAAAATGTTATAACTGAGTTTCAATAATTTTTAACAAATTAATTTTTGAGATATCTTTATTATTGTAATTAAATTATTTTGCATGTACAAAGAAGAACAACACACGAATCTAATTCTGTCTCTTCAACATCTCACTTCCGAGCGCCTGATTTCTGTTTGTTTTTTCCATTATTTTTCATCGCAGCCTACAATACAAAAAGAATGCTGAATAATTAAGTCTGTAATAATTTATATGAATTTAAACAGTTGATTAAATTATCTTTTTAACTATGAACATAGTTATTTTTTGAAATCACGCGTACGTATATGTACTCCGTGCATAATGCACAGAAATTTACATAATGCACATTATAATTCGAATAAATATAAACATAAGCGATATAGTCACAGAAAGTAATATTATGTGTCTAAGTGTAAAATTATTACGTTACCTTCATACTTACAAATTCATCATCAAGAGGATTGACGTATTCATGCTGTTCAGGAGATATGTCTTCAATTGTCGAATTGAATGTTAACTCAACCTCATCTCTTTGACCATACGACGGATTTTGAAAACGAATGCGGTGAATGCTGCAACAATTATATATTGTACAATTTTAATTATATGCTAATGACATTTATATATATAATTCTTAAAGAAAAATTCCTATTTCAATTAAATATTAAAATAAACTAAATTTAAGACGTACTTTAAGTTATCTACTAGTTTCCACTGGAATTTACTTCTCTGATAGCAGTTGTAAATGCATAATAATAAAACAGCAATTAGTAATACAGTTATTGTTATAATATAAATACTTGTATGTTGTGTATTTTCAATTAATGATTTATTATTTATCATACAAGTTGTATTGGATTTTATCGGTTTACCATCTGAACAAATACATGTTGCATTTTCCTTCAACAAAACGCACATGTAATCGCAAAATTCTTTGTCACAAAGATTTTTATCTTTATCTAAAAAAAGTATAATTTAACTTTACTTAATAACTCTATAAAAATTAATATACATAATAAGAATTTGATTTTGAGATTACTAGAGATCTTACCATACCAATTAAAAGGTTGCCTGGAAATATGCAGAATGGCAAACTGTCTGTGAATATTATTTGTGTCTATATCTAATATGTCGCACAATTTGTTACCATACAATTTACAACGTCGCAGTTGACCATTTATACCCGTTAACCAATAAAGTGACTGTTCATAAATACTAATGCTTAACGGATGATGCATCTAAAAAAGAAAAAAATATTGTTTTAAAGAAGAAAAGAATTAAATATTCACGCAAATTTTACAATGTTTTTAACATGTTTCTGACTTAAATTAAAAAAAATGGATATAATGAATTAACATACATTCATTCTTAAGAACGTGCTGCGTTGGCTTCCATCCAAATTAGATAATTTGATAGCATTATTAAAACTATCCAACCAATATAATTTAGATTTTATGTAATCGAGTGTCATCCCGCTTACGAAGCCTACATCAAAATCAATAATTTTTATATCGGCGCTCATCATATCTGAACGACATATTTTGCTAAATGGTTTGTCCGTTTCCAAAGTTATTTGAGACCAAAATAGCCATCTACAACATCATGAGCAAATTTAAATTTTGAAAATTCTAACAAAAGTCATTAATGTCCATCATTTGTATCCAGATAGACAAATTTACCGCATGTATTGCAAATCATCTCTTTAAACTTTTGGAGTGAAATCCCACTCTAAGGGCCGGTTATTCCACAATCAGATAAATTATCCATTAGATAAATTGTATATGATAATTTATTTAATAAATAAACAAAAAAGTAAAAGGGTAAGAGTACGAGAAAGTAAGAGAGTAAGAAAATGAGTTTATCGAAAGATGGAACAACTTAGCCTTAGAGAGTGAGATTTCAATCCAAGAAATATAGGGAGATGTATTGCATATTATGTTAGTCTAGCAACAATAGAATACAAATCTACTGCCTTTCTAATATTGGTAGAAATGTATCAGAAAACGAGCAAAGTATGCATTATCATATCATGAAATCGAAGTATGTTTCATTCCTAATGCATTTCTATTGTTTATACTTGATTGACAAGTCGTAACAACAGAAACCAAAGCGAATACATTTGATAGAAATTCGCTCTATATCATTGAATTTGTAAGCATACTATTAGAGTTTTGCTATCTCGTAAATATGCCAGATAAATGAAAATAAAAAAAACTAAGAAGAATAAAAAGATACCTATTAATCGAGTCAACTAAAAGGGATCCTACTTTTGCCTTATCTTCTATCTCTACCAAAGGCGCACATCTTTGTTTCTCGAAATTGCACACCTTCAACAAAATAATTAAATAAGTATTCAGATTAGGATATTCTGTTGTTAACAAGACGTTAAGGAACGTGAACGTGGCATGACAGACAGCGCACTGTCTATCATCCTGGGTTTGAGATCCTGAGTTCGATCCCAGTAAGAACTAAAATAATTACGCTCGTGTCTTCTCTCGGAGAAGACCGGCAATCTCTCGAGAGTATCCTTGCCCACAAAAACATCTCTGGAAAAATGCGCTGTTCCGAACTGCCATTAAAACTATAGGTTCCATATAATTGTGACAATTAAATAATCAGCATGTGCATCACAGCATATAAGAGAGATGTAACACAGGCCAAAGACTTTAACGTAAAAAGAAAAAGAGATGTTGAGAAAAAATATACCTGAATCGTATTCGAATGACCATTATCATTGACATAGACATTATCGGTGATCCAATCAATCGCGAGTGCCTGCGGATGCTCTGTAGTATGTACTGTGAATATTTCCTTCGTTCCAATTTTAAGTTTCTTAATAGTGCCAAATTCACCTATAATTATTGTTTTTTTACATTTATAGAATAACATAATTCTTTTGAAAGACTTTTCCAATCCTTTTTCAGAAGTCTTTTGAATCTTCACATGTGCTTTAATCGTTCTAGACATCGTAATTAATTAACTTGATTTATATAAGATTAAAACAAAAAGAAACTAACTGTTACTCCAATAAATAGAATCGTGGATTGCATTCACGTCGAATCCATTTATACTGAAATCCGATAATGAATAGATCACATCAATCGAATGTAAATTAGATGATATCTTTCTAATATCATTATCAGTAATGGTGATGAATTCCATTGGTGGCCCTAAATAATCATTATATAATAATTTATTGTTCTAAATAATATGCATAAACGTTTAATTAGCTATGCATTTACCGATAGCTTTGCAAGAAACTCCATCGATATCGATGTCATGATGGTCGTCACAAAAACACTCAAAAGAACCTACTGTATTTCGACAAAATTGTGAACAAACATCATTTTCGCATTCATTTATGTCCTCGCAAGAAGTCGCATCAGCAGCTAAACGATATCCATCTGGACAGCCGCAAACATCACCTTTTGGTGTTTTATAACAAAGATTTTCACAATGATTGTCTATTGAACAAGCGGTCCCTACACAGAAAAATATGACGCAGTAAATAACGCAAATTAATTTGCATAAATTTTTCAGAAATTTTGGGATTTTGTCTCTTTTGTTGATATATTTTTTTTTAATTATTAGTGAGAAATGTTAAACTTATATAAAAAAAGCCAATTTTAGCGAATTCTTCGAAGACAAAAATATTGTAAATTAATTGACAAATTTTTCGTTAAAAGCATTTTCAGCAGTTAAAATTACGTAACTTAAGAAAAATTAATAACATACGGCACTTTTCATTTTCATCGCTGCCGTCTGGGCAATCTTGAATATCGTCGCATACTTTCAAGTACGGCAGACAAGTACCAATAGAACATTTGAATTCATGGCATTTGGTATATTCCATGGTGGTTTTTTTATCATCGACACAATCTTTCTCATCTGAAATGTCGTCGCAATCAATCTTTTTGTCGCATACCCAACTCTTCGGAATGCACTTCATTCCATCACAACTAAATTCATCGTTCGAGCACACTTCACAGCCATACTCGTCATCATATTTCGGACAATCAAATACGCCATTACATCTGCAAGAAAAAAAAATGGATGAAGATAGAAAAATTTTAAGATTAAGATTGTAATTTATTTTCTAACATTCATTATCCGCTTGCATAACAAATTCTGCAATTTGAAGAAATCTTCACAAAGAATAAATAATTTAAGGCAAATTTTGATATTCGTGTGTTATTTCCCGACTTACTCTCTTATATTATAAATGAAATGATTTACCTTACTTGTTTAGAAAGACACAAATTAGTGTCGAAACATTGATACTCGTTTGTGTTGCAATTATCTAAAGAAGAATGTGGGCATAATACTTCATCGCTTTTATCGAGGCAATCATAGAAACCGTCGCACATCAGCGAACTAGATATACAATAACCATTATTACACCGAAATTGTTCGTCTAAACATTGTATTGATTTACATGCCTCGTGTGTTTCATCCGATCCGTCTTCACAATTAGACTTAAATACAAACAAAATTACATAATATAACATTGCCATCTTGAATAAAACATATAGCACATACTGAATTGCAGAAGGAATATTGCTATAACGTTTTTAGGTAGTAGGACAATACAATTGCTACAAAATTGCTAAAATAAACTGTGCTGTATACAAAAGAAATTAATTAAAAAGTTCATATATTTTAATTTGAAAATGTAGAGACGTAGTTTCTTAAAGTGTAATTTCATTCGGGTAGCTTTTTTGCAAGACTGTAACTTGACTTGCAACCTGATAATAACCTTATCAAGTGCTAATAACATCTATTCTTAGAAAATAAAAAAATTACATGTAATAAATACGGTAAGTGAATTAAAAGGATAAAGTATGATATAAATGTTACTTACTATATTGTTACATATAAACGTCTCCGATATGCAAAAGATTAATCCGTCACGACATTGAAATTCATCTAAAAAGAATTTATACTTATTATGAATAAATTATTATGAATAATTGCGACTATTCCACACAGCATACATTATTCTAGGAATATCAACACGCGCATATACGCTTGTGATGTCTTATAGATTTCTTTGGATATCTCACGGATATCGTTTAAAATCTCCATAAGATCTCAGACATGCGGATACATCCCCTGGATATCCGTTGTATAACTGAGACTTTCCAGATATCAAAATTATCCCAAAATGACATCCGTTGGACATTCCTAAGATAAAATGTGCTGTGTGGGTGTGTATCGTTTTGTTCTTGCTGTTCAACTAATGTTAAACAAGGATAAGATGATACACGGGGACATCCGGATAATGTTTTCGAATACAGTCTTATAATATTTAATATAATAAAATCTGTAAGTTTCATGAGATATATCTTAATTGGCACGCAGCATGTTGTGTCCGAAATAACGATGACATTCTTTATTTCTATCTTTTAGTTTGATTTTGACACCCTCGAATTGCAAATTTTTGCTGTATTCTGAGGCAATCTCAGGACATTTCTTGGAGAACTGTGTTGTGTGGTAGAAAGATTTGAATATGGTAAGATATCTTATCATATCTTATTACTACATCTTATTAATATCTTAAGAATCAATAGGATATCTTATGATATTTTATGTTGTTTTACTTGATATTTTCTTTAGATATTTCGGATGGGATTACTTTGCCAATATGGAACAATTTGCGATATCCTCAGGCTAAAGTGTACTGTGTGTAATATGAGTTTAGTCGAAGTACATTCACCGTTTCTTCCAATGTAAATTAATTTTAATCTCGGTCAACTTTTATTCTTTTTTAATCCTTAGAACTGCATTAAGATAAAGAATTAGTTAAATCAAGATTAAAATTAAACTATATCTATAGAAACGGGCAGAGAGATAAAGAACATGATTTCATTCAAATATTCCTTCAATCTTTGCATTCAGATATAATTAAAGGTTAAAAAGAAGAACAAAAATACATGGGACATTTATCATCGTAATTACCTTCTCTGCATTTCGGTCTTTTGCAATTCTTTTCATCCGAATGATCAATGCAATCGTAATACCCATTACAACGATCTTTTATATCAATACACTCGCCATTTGTACATGTAAAGTGATCTTTCTTACATATCTTTTTTTCATAGCAGTCTATGGTCTCGTCTTCACCATTCGGACAATGTGCAATACCATCGCACCTAAATAAATTGTAAGATTTATAAATATTAATAATATTTATATTATATATAAAATCTACAAGAAAGAGAAAATGGAAATAGTAAATATTCCTTTGGTTTGAAGAAAAAATAAATTAAATATAAAGATACAAAAATATGTATTCAAAATAAGTAAGTCAATCTCGATAAATTCGCATAATAAACAACATAAAATGTAATGTTAAAATCGAACATATAATAACTGTTAACACATTAACTTCCAATGTACGGGGAATAAATTTTTTAATTATGGATTATGTTATTTAAAAATACTAATTAAACGTACACATTTTTCTTTGATATGCAGACATTGTGTTCGCTGCACTTAAATTCGTTCGCAAGACATTCATGCATAATGCAAGTACGATTGTCATATGAGAGTCCCATTCCAGGAGGACAAGCACAAATCTAGAAATTAAAATATCACGTTGAATATCCATTTCTTCAACAAATAGTATCATTTCGTAAATGAGATTAAATTGAGAAAATGATTTTCCTGAAAGGCCTTGCACCGCCCAATGAGCTACGGCAGGCCAAAGCGATTTCGCCTCTTTTATCTGCCCGGGTCTGCAGATTTATAGAACTACCTATCAAAATATAAGTTCTGGATGCCATCTATAGATGAGTTGGCAGAAAGTCAACTTTATGAAACAGGTATCGCAGATTAATGATAAGATGGAAATTCTTGCTGTGACACAGTTATGTAATATTTCAAACTCAACTTTTATTTCAACTTTAAACTTTAAATTTTCTCAAAAAACTGCATTTTCCGAAACAGTGTACATGATAACTCAAAAAGTTTTATTCAATTGACTTAAAATTTTAACTAAATATTCTTAGCAACATTCTCTATCGTCTGACGTAGGATTTTTGCAAAATATTTTGTAGTTTTTTTTTAATCGACAATTAAAGATTTTTTTTTTTTTTCGAAAAAATTGCAACTTTTTTTCATCGCCATTTCAAAAGAAATCAATATTTTAAAAAAATCTTTACATCAGACGATAATTATAACAGTATATATAACAGTATATAAATGATGCCATTTTTATTTAACTTGTATAGATTGCACTGTTTTGCCGAAATCATGTATATCGCTTGAGATATCCCTATTTCACAAAAAGTGTTTCCATAATTGGATCAGAAAGCCGCCATTTTGTCATTCAAACAAGATGAAAAAATTATTTTCTACACTAGAAGATATAATGAAACCCTTAAATTAGTTTTTGAATCAAGTTATTCATTTCTCCTCAAAAAATTCACAAAATTAGAACTGATTTGTTAGTGTCAGGAGTGAGGTCTCCCCTTAAACAACATGTCATAAATATATCAAAAATGTTAATTGTATATGAAATGTTTATATTGCGTTTGTCGAATAATTATAACGGCATATAATTGCATCGCCTATGTAAAACTTGTATACTTACGAAAGTATTAGAAGTATTCGAAGAAGGCAAACACACATGTGAGCAATTTCCATTATTTTTCTGACAATCGTGATCAAATTTAGCATCTTTACTCAAAGTTACTATAAACGAAATTTCTAGTAACGTACCTAAAAAGATATCATTTTATTGATTATCAATCCTGTGTATGTAGAGAAGGTATTATGGTTAGTGTAGATATTGTGGCCTCCCTTAATATCTCCGTTTTATATTTTAATAATTAAATTTTAATAATTACTTATTATTTGTTCAGTAGCTCGCCGTTACACTGGCTGTAAATCTAAATATACCAATACTCAATAGCCAACACTTATTATAACGCATTCTTACTTTTAAGTATTTAAGTTATTTTGAAACGTTTCTGAGGTACATTTTAGCATTTAATTACACTACCTACTTCCTCATTTTTCCTAAATTTGCACGTATTATCACACAAATATATATTTTTGAATGTATTGTTTTCTATTTATCATTTTATTTGACTGTATATATTTTGTGTTAACGTAAATTTAAATAATAGCATGATATTTTGTTAATGTGATCCTTTATGAGTATTGATTACTCACGGTCTCTTTTTTAAGGTTTTCATATCAAAATAATTATTTGATAATCGAGCTCCACAATTAATCTATGGTTTATATTACGTGTATATTATTTTCAGTACTAGATTTTTAGTAGGCTGAGCAGAACTTATGTACAGAAGTTATGTGAATGTAAATATAATACATATATTTATTTGCATACATTTTAAAATGTTTTACTTTTAATTTTATAATCAAATACTGTTTTCTGAACAAAACTAATTTTTTAAGGCTATTTTTATGGAAGGCCACATTACCGCATCCATGTTTTTCTTCAAGTTATTATGTAATGTCGTTACATTTCTATTATATAATAGTGTCCTAAGTAATAAATATTTCGTAACCTTAAGTCCAGAAACGATTTCGATAATATTTTAACAAATGTAATTATCAAGTTTAAATTAAAATATTTTT